TCCAGTCTCTCCAGGGGTCCCGCGCGGTTGGGGCTGGCCTCGACTGCCATCTGCTCCACAGCAGCCACCACAGCGTGGAAGTAGTGCTCCAGGACGCGGCGGGAGGTGGCCTGCGGGGAAGGACGCCAGAGCCTGAGTCCCGGCCCAGCACCCACCCACCCTACGTCCTACGCCAAGCGCTCCAGCCCAGCACCGCGCCTCCTCCCTGCCCCAGCAGACGCATCCGTGAAGCCTTCAGAACCCGCACGTCCTGCGCCTGCTCTCGCCACAGCTGTTGTCCCATGCTGCCTGAAACTGGGAGTCCCTGTGCCCTCACATCTTGTTAGGAGGAGGTGGCCTGGAATGGTTTAAGAAGGGACGTAGTAGTAAAAGGAAGGACCGGCCAAAGAAATTATACAAGATGTGGGATTCAGACTGGAGAATTTCAGATGGAACACAGCAAGAAGAGCAATCATCCGATGCATTTTAATGAGCAAAGTAAGGTCTGACTCAGCGATGGGAAAAAAAGGACTGACCGCTCCCCTCTACCTGAGCCAAGAAACAGCGTCTAGACTAGCGGAACCCTCCCCGAGCTGCACCCTCCTTTCCGGGTGCCCAGCCCATGCTGTAGCAGCGGGATCACTGCTGAATCGAGCAGTTCCCCCACCTCGGCCATCATCCAATCCAGCCCTCTTATAATATACTGATAAATAACCTGTTTTAATTAGTTATTTATGGGGAGGGGAAAGGTAAAGCGACACAGAAGCAGGATGAGGACAGCGGGTGCCCGGCGGGGCGGGGGTCGTGCGTTACCTGCAGCTTCCTGTGGAGAGCGCCCGCGTGGCAGGCCTCCCCCAGAGCCGCCTGCAGGGCGTGGCAGACCACGTGGCGCATGCAGGCCTCAGGTGTCTGCTGCCCCTGGGCCGCCTCGATCTCCAGCAGCAGGGCACTGCACACGGAGGCAGACACCAGCTCGGGGTCCACGAAGAGGAACACTCTGAGGACAGGAGAGGGGAAGCGGGGCAATCGGGAGAGGTGGGCACTGTGGCATATAGGGGCATGTGCAGCCCTGCTGGAGGACGGCTCGAGTCTCTGGCCGGAGTCCACTGTCTTCACACAGAAAGGCCTGTGTCTGTGTCTAGGGGAGTCCCGCCTACATCCTCCTCCTCACTCGGCATCCTTGTCCGATCGCACTGCCCCCTACTGGGAGGGAGCCTAAATCCGTCCTGCCAGAAATGGAGCTCTGGATGCCGAATGCAGCCCCGCTTCGCTCATCACCGCCATCGCACCAGAAAACCAGTCCCACCCACGCTCTCCCCCTCAGCCAAAAGTGTCACCCCACCTCTCCAGCACTAGCTCCTCTGGGTCCCCTTCAAACCTCCCCACACCCTTCCTCAATGCAGCTCCCCGAGCCTCAACTCAAGCTGTCTCTCAGGGCCAAGTCAGAGGAGACACCTGAGAGAGGAAGGTGACGTCATCACCGTCTCCCTGACTGGAGCAATGGACCTTGCTCAATTCCCTGCTGCTGCTGTCCTATCAGGAAGGCTGCCACACAGAGCAAAGCGCTCAGATGTCGCCATGTGACTGTAGCCTGCACTGGGGATATTCTGGAGTCACCTCCGGCCACCTGGCTGGTTTGGTGCCATATCACAGCCAATGGCAGGATGGAGGTACACACATTCAAGAGGATTGCTGTGATTTAAAGGCCAGCCTGAACTACTATATAGTGAGACCCTGTCTCCAAAACCAAAAAGAAAAAGAAAAGAAAAGAAAAAAAAGAAGAAGAACTTCAGAGCTGCACGAGAGCCATGTGCACACGAGCAGGGCAGCTCTGAGATAAGCCTGTCTTTCCAGTGGTCTCTGGAAAAAGACAGAAAGACATGGCCTGACCCTCCTAGAACTGGAATTTCACTCCAATGCTGGTCAGACATTGTGGCTGCAAAGCTCTGCTCTGGCTCTTCTCAATCCAGCCTCCTCTCTTGTCCTCCTGCCAGTGAGCAGTCACACAGTCTCCAATGCCTCTGGGGATGAAGGCAACACGCGTTCCAGCGCTACTCACCTCTCCTGGTAGGGATACATTTCACTCATCAGGTTCTGTTCAGCAAGGACGGTCCTCTGGTACAGCGTCCCTGCAAGCCAGTCTGTGTCAGCCCACAAGCCTAAGTCTCTGACTCCCTTTGTCCACCTTCCCATGGAAGGTGCCAAGACTTTTGAGTTCCCTGGCATCCAGGAGAAGAAGGCCAGATCTTGGGTGGTGCTGAGAGACTAGGATGCCCAGCAGCTCTCACCTGGAGCTGCTATCTCTGTTTTCAGCCTTATGGCGCAATCCAAAGCGACCGTGCAGTAGGGGGTGGGCAGGGTCAGTAACCTGGTGCAGAAGGTGTAGGTTCTATGGTAGAGCTCTTCTGTGATGCCTGTGGCCTGGGTGAGAGGGAGAAGTTGGGGCACCCAGAGCCCTAGTCAGGAAGGTCCTGGGTGGGCTGGAGGTGGGAAAGAGAGGAGGAAGAGTGGGCCTGACAGACACACTTGGTTCATGGTTTGCTTCCACATTTGCACCTTCCGGCCCCCTCTCCTGTACTGGGGAACCCCATTCCAGCTCACCAGGGTAGAAATTTGTTGCATTGCATTCTGCCAGCCAGTCAACTCTCCTCCCAACCCTTCTGCTCAGCCTGCAGTGCATGCCCATGGTTCTCTAGGATTAGCGCTTTGGGGTTGTTCCCGAGTATCCATTGCTCCACATTGGCAGAAAATACTCCACAACAGCCCAGAGGCTCCCTTGATCCCCTTCCTCCTCTTCACCGCTGTGCCCTTAGCCTTTGCTGGAGCCAAGACCTGTCCTTATCCCGGATGCTCCAGCTGCCCCCTCTTACTCCTCATCTTCCTCATGGTGCACTCCAATCTCCTGAGACTACCCATGGCTCCCCTTTACTTCCCTGAAGACAGTGACAGATGCTTTTCATCGTGTCTCCCCATGTAATGATCAGTGGTGTTCACAGGTGAACAAGCTCACAGACCTCATCCAGGCTTTTGGGCTTTCCAGCCATGCCCCCAACTGCCTCCTTTTCCCCACTGCCTCTCCAATTTTATCTCTGAGTGGGAAGGATAGAAGTGAGCCGGTGCTTACACACCATTGTGCAGCAGGCAGTCCCAGACTTTTTCTAGGCACCCCTGGCAGAGATGAGGTGTCCACTGAGGGGAGAGAAGAGCGGATCACCACGACCACCTTGAACTCCAGCCCCCAGCTCACCTTAGTGAGCACGTACATCAGCGTGTGCAGCAGGGGAATGATGATGTGCCAAAGGTCCTTGCTCTCTGCCTGGAAAACAGAGAGATTCCCTGACACTGATGTAGCTTGGGCCAGGGCTGGGGGCGGGCGGTCACCAGGTCATCCTAGCAGGCGGTGGTTAGGTTGGAGCTGGGTGGAGAGGGCAGGCAGCATTCCACTCTGCCAAGGGCTCCAGTCTGCCCTGGACAGAGCAGTGCTGTGAGGAGTAGAAGTTTGGGGGACCCTTTGTGTGGGAAGGGTTGCAGGAAACTGCGGGGGAGGGGTGACATAGACTGAAGGCAGGAGCCAAAGAAAAGTGACAGCAAGCTCCTAACTTGGAGTCTTCCTTGAGGGCAGTGTTTCTCAGTCACAAGGTTGGGAGGTCTGGAGGCAAACTTCAGGTTCTACAAGAATAATTGTGAAAAACTAGAACAGTTACATACATATGTTTAGAGGTGCTTTCTATTTCTGACGAGTGGCATGGGTTTTCCACTAATGGCCATGTTATGGAGTTTCTTTTTGAAATGTTAACTCAAATAAAACAGTGGGAGTTGATGCAAAGAAAATGCTACCTAGGCAAAGGTCTCAGAGGCAGGTGTGATGGTGGAAATCAAAGAGATGACCCACAGATGATATAGAGCTGCCAAGACTGAGCCCCCAGCTCCCCCACCTGGCAGGGGGGGAGCATTTTTTTCCTGCTTCATCCACCTCCCCAAAGCCAGAGCACCCACCTTCTCCAGCTCTCTGAGCAGAATACGGACCAGCACGGGGTTCCTCCCAGGGTCTCGCTCTACCTTCTTGTGCAGGGACCATCTCCACATGCCTGACCAGGAGAAAGTGCAGCCCAGTTGGACGAGGCATGGCGGGGGCTCTTGGAGGAGAGTCTTCTGGGTGGGGCTCCGAGCCTGGGCCTCACACTGTGGCTGTCTAGCCATCTCTGACCCTGTGGCCGGCCCTGGGCTCCAGGTACAGATGGGTGGGCTCTTCCCCAGTGAGACCCTTCTGATCCTCAGCCCTTTGTGGATGGTGAATCCCCAAGGCAGAAAGGAGGGGAGGGGACACAATTGGGGACAGGTGTACACAGGAGGACCACAGAGCAGCAGCCATTGCAGATGTTAGCCAGCCACCCCTGGAGGATCTGCGGGCTGGAGAGGATTTCTGTTTGGAAGGGGAACTGGGGAAGATGACTAAGAAAGAGGGTGCCAAGTCCCCAACCACAGCTGCTGGGAAGGTTGAAGCAGGGTTCTGAGAGGCCTTCCTGGCTCCCCAGGCTTAGGGATTTCCACTAGGAAGGGGACTGGGCTGGACAGCTCTCACACATGAGATCCAGGCTGGGCCCTTCCCTGAATGAGTGGACAGGGCTGGAGTGGTGAGTTAGGGGGCCACAGGGGTAGTTGCCATCTGCCTATCATCACTTACCCTGGTTGCCCTGCAGGGCTGAGGTCTGGGCACTGAGTTCCCGGAGCACAGCTTGCACGCTCCTCTGGAGGTCCAGTTCTGCATCTGGAGGGAGAACAGCGGGGAGTGGAGGCTTAGCTCACCTGGCCTCACTGCTACCCACCTCCATTATCCCAAGCATGTCTTTAGCCCTTCCATGAATGACAAGGTATGTCCCAAGGTAACTAACCTAGAGCTGGTAGGCAGCACACTAGTCAGGGCTGAGGACAATATTTTCATTGTAAAGAAACATGTTCTTTGTAAAACTAACATTTTCTAAAGTGGGGGATGTATGGAAACCCCACTCCCCCATCCAAGGTCCCAAAATATTAACTAGAAAACTCCAGAAGTAAAGAATTCATAGCTTTTCTTTTCTGTTTTTTTTT